AAAATGGAAAATGATAAAAAACAAATATTTCGCAAGTGATTTCGTGTTTGGGGGTTGCTACCCTTATTTCTTATTTCAGAAAAACTATATTTTTTATTTATAAAAAAATTAAATTTACTCAAAAAGAATTCAAAATATGAGATAAGGGGGGTGAACAACAAATTTGAAATTGTTATAACTTATTAAAAATTAAAAATATATCTATTTCTCTGAAAAGAAAGGTTAAATTTTTTAGAGTAGATCGAAAAGAAAAAATTACAAGATTCATTCATTTTTCTGCTTATGATTTTTTTAAATTTCTGAAATTTTCCCTTAACTTCTAGTCTCCCTAACTCTGTTAATTTTAATAATACAAGAAAAAGTCAAGAGGCCATTTTTATGTAGAATTGTATGTTTTACAACTTTTTTGTCTAGCCCTTTCCCGTTTTGAGTTATCTTGAAGAAAACCTTTGTTTTATGTTTTTTCACCCTTGATCGGGAGTTGACCAAAAAATTATTGTCACTTATTGTTATAACATACCTCAAACTAACTTATATAAAAAATTCAGGCAAGTTGACCAAAATTTCGATTTAAAGGCTTATTTAATTGGACTAATAAGCGAGTTTAAGTTCATAATCCTATTTTTTTTGTACAATTAAAAGAAATAAGACCATTTACAGTAGCATAGCCACTGACCTCCTGACTTAAACCTATAAACTTTTTTTTTCGGTGAAATTGAAAAATAAAATGTGTCGTAGTATTCATGAAGAAGAAACAGTTCTCATGGTTCGTCAGATACATATGTTTAACAATCGGTGGACAAAATTTTAAACTGTTGCAACATCACATAAGTAGGTACGAGCGTAGGTATTAACTTTTTCTTGATTCCACTGATTACATTTAACAATAAATAATTGAATTAGCTGAAATATAGCTGTGATAACATTCTACGTATTTATTACTTCCATAAATATTTTAATCTTTTGTACGTACACTTTTTGTACATGCCGATTTACTGTGTGAATTGGATTAGGTCAGGTATTACACAGTCGACCAAATCCAGTGGCGTACATATATTTTTCAATAATTTTCGAAGTACGTTAAGGTCTTGCTACAGTTCGAATTTCATAAAATTTGGAATTGTTTTATTTTCGTTTCCAAAAACTGCTTTTGAATACCACAGCAAATGCAATAGAAACAAACGTAAAATTTTACAAAATCTTGTTAATTATTATTACAACTTTTATTTAACTTGTCTTAGTATGGGTCAAATCTTGCAACTGAATTTTCAAACAGTTATCCACAACCGATTGAGCTGAAATTTTACATACACTTTTAGTTGATATGTGCTTTTAGTGTGGATGACAATGCATGGTTAGCTAAGTGACGTAATTCTAAATCCAATGTTGCGGACTCTCAAAGATGATGCACCAGGTATTTTTTATGCACTCCCATGATATGGGTATCAAATGAAAAGGTTTGCTGAGAATTATACGAAAATAAAATGAAATTACCAAAAGCTTGTTTTTATTTTATTCTTTTTTATACATGAACTTATTTTCAAACACATGTTGATATAAATTGGTTTACTTTCCGGACAAGAAGATCATTGATCCTATTGATCGGTTAACACACTCACAGTCTCTGAAAAAAACTTTCAACTAATTTCCACGAGAATTATTTGGCGGGTTATTGGTAGAATATAATTATTTTTGAAACTGATAAATGAGTGGTAATTCTAGGAAATATACTTACAGACTAAATAATCTATTAATTTCTGATATGTACAATTCTTCTCACCATAAATAAATACTTCAATGCGATTATCTCAGTAATGAGTGATGACTTCAATGTTTGAGATATAAATCAATTGATATGGGTTTTTCGAATTTGCTATAATTACGTAAGGATTGAACGAAATTGACGCTTGGTGATAAAAGTAAATAATGTACATTCATATACAGGGTGTTAATGAACTTATGTCAAAAATTTAAAGGGGTGAAAAAAGAGCAAATACTGAGTCAACTGATGTCACAAACTTGTATCGCAAGTTTAAGGTCATAGAGAAAAAAATGTTAATTAAAAATGTGTTTAAAACTGTTTTTAAACTGCTGATATACATGTATTTTATCGCGGCGAGTACTTAAAAAAAATTGTGTACTGTATTCGAAAGTCAGTTTGTAATACATTGATGTAGTGATTGCTGTGATGTTTTTTGACAGTATTTCCAAGTTTTCTTTTGAAAATGGCGCATTTATCTAGCAATCGCGAATATTATAATATGCAATTTTTGATTCTAGATTGCAAGCATTGGCGGCTTTTTCATAGTAAAATAAATTGATGTGAAATTTTGTTTACAATGCTATCTAGATAATTACAGTGATTAGCCTTATGAAACATATTCAAAAGGAAATGTTAAATTTGTAATGTGCTCGACTCGCACAGTTCATTTGAAAAACACCGAAAACGTGGGCTTCTCGTAGCTCGTCCCTAAATCTGTAGTGTTTACAACGGTGGTCATGGTTACTGTCGCGCAGTAGTAGAAGACGGAGTGGAAGTGATGTATTTTACTATATAATTTGGGCTCTGTTTAGTACTTCTGTAACCAAATAATAGGCTGCTCGCTGCTTTTTTTCTTATTAAACGTATTTTGTTTACGTGCGGTGTAAAATTTTGTTACCTGCGTATTGTTTCTTGTGTTTTTGAAAGAATTGCAAAAGTTTTAATTAGATAGTAAAGGTAGAGTAACAACACTTGCAATGTTATTATCGATTGAAGAATCAGTGGTGAGAGAAATACCAAATTTTAATGATTACGTTGGTAATTGAAAAGTTTATTTCGGAAAGCTAAAGAATGGACATTCACTATAAAAAATGATGTTGAACACATTTTCCCTATCTTTCAATTGTACTTAAAATAAAACAACCCTGTTTGATTTTTTTTTTAATACTTTATACCTGATATGGAATTCAAGAGCCGCCACTAGCGCAAGTATCGTTTTTGTATTCAAGAATCTGGTATATATTATTTTTCCTGTCTTGATGATCTCTTTCTTGAAAAGTCAAGAACTTTTCATGTTGAATGAGGGTAGAACACAATTTTTTGTAGCCTCTACGGATAATAGTCTTTTTCGATTTTTGTTTCTGAATTCTAATTCTAAGCTCATTTACTGTTAGACCAGGAAAATTAGCGAAAAAAAGAGAAAGTCGAAAAAATTCCTATCCGCGATATTATTGTAAAATTGTCTAAAGGAACATAACAAGACATCTCTTATCTCGTGAGTCAAAAAATTTTATTAGCTAACTTTTCTATTTAAACAAATAAGTGAGGAAAACAGTTTCTTCACTTTGCAGGGAAAACCGTCAATTTTAGCGAAAAGTGACTACCAGACAACTTGTAGAGAATAAAATTATCTACAAAATGAGACTTGTTAAAGAAGAAAAAATGATATGGAATAAAATTCAGCGCCTTTCAAGAAGTTAAAATTGTAATTTTATCGACCGCATCATTTTTCTTAATATTTTTTAATTTTGAGAATTTTGCAATAAATTCAAATGTTTTTTATTCTTTTTTAACAATACATAATAATCTAAAAATAATTTGTGAATTTTTACTTTAATTTTACATTTAAATCGTAAATAAATAGCTAACAAAATTTTGAAAAAATAAGTTTACTTTGGCTTAATATGTAAAAAATTAACTATTTAAATGAACGATAGATTCACTTATTTATTTAATAATAGTAAAATTCCGAAATTGAAAATTTAATTAATATTTCGTTTAACAATAATTTTTGTGACATTTTTATAAATTAAAAAAATTAAGTATTCTACGAATTCGTAAATATGCCCATTGTTATTTTTCGTCGAGCTACCCCAGTTTAAAAAAAAAATAAGTTTCTACGATGAATAGAAGCCGACATATTGCAAAATTTTACAGCGCGCATTAATTTGAACTTTGGATATCACTTTTCTCGCGCGCGCGACCGCTTGGATGAGCTTTCCCCACCACCACGCAGGACATTTTACTTAGCAAGTACCTTCTCTTTAAAGGGCTCGTTAGTCGTTAATTTTCCACATTTTTCAATGAAATTCACGGGAAATCGTAGTTTACGTCGTAAACTTTATTTTGCGAAAAATTCAAGTTTTAATATTTATAAACGATTGCGCTACGATTTAAAAAAAAATCTTATCTTGGCTCCTGTCGGTCGTAGGGGGTACTTTTTTTATTTTAAAACTGTATTTTTTTGCCAGCTATCCATTGCATCTATTTTCGGTGAGATAGCATAAATAGCAACAATGTTATTCAAATTGTTTATAAGCGAAAAACGCACGGTTTTTTAATGCACAATTTGAGAATGTTAATGTCAAAAAAACGGTGATATTTTTTAATAGGTCGCTTAATTACGTCTTTAAGATTACAATGACGCTTTCAGAATCATGTTTGGTTGAAAATTAACGCCTGTACAGAGGCTTAAAGTTCATAACTTTTGGAGCCTCCGCTATAAACAAATAGAATTGTGCGAAAACTATTGCACCTACAGCGCCCACTTTTGGCACACTTTTAAAGTATGACAAAACCCTCAACTTGTCATAGGTTTTATAAAATGTTAACAATAAATGCGATAGTTATAAACAAATTAAAAAATTTTTTTGTTTTTGCAATAACTTTTTTGTTTATTAACCGATTTTAATTTAACAAGCGAGTCACTTTTCGCTAAAATTGATGGTTTTCCCTGCAAAGTGAAAAAACTGTTTTCCTCGCATATTTGTTTAAATAGAAAAGTTAGCTATTAAAATTTTTTGATTCATGAGATGAGAGATGTCTTGTATTATGTTCCTTTAGACAATTTTACAATAATATCGCGGATAGGGATTTATTCGAGTAAAAATTTTATTTGAATGGTGTATTCCTTAACAATTGAATTCTCTTAAATCTATGAATATAATCTACCAATTTACTCCAACCCCCATTCCCACGCAACACCAACCAGAAACGAAAGAGAAACTGAAAAAGGCAATGTGAAAAAACTGAACTAATTTTATTTTTGCGCACATGTAAATAAAAAGTTACATAAAAAAATACTGAACATTTCAAACACAAAACATGTATTCCATCACAGCACTATTGAAGTTGAAGTTTGGCAAGAAAATTAGTCCAATGCTTTTATTCCGTCTTCTTAAGGTAATTCTGAAAAACAAAAATCATCACGGTAAGCTATCCTTCTTTTCCAACCTGGTAAAACTTTACCTCTTTCGCAATACTTTCTAGATTCTTCGAAGTGTTAGCACCTGTGGTCTTCACCAGACTCCGCAAGAGGCCATCTTCTTTTTGTAGCAAAACGTAAGGGTGATCGTATTCCTTGACGCTACCAGCATCCATCACCAGTATCTTATCAGAGTCCATTACTGTGTGGAGCCTAGAAAAAAATCCAAAAACGCGGATGGTTACAACTATTAGTCCAGGCTGTATCGTCGCTCCCGCTAGGAACATGATTCTCATTCGATTTTTTTTTTCATAATCTTACTAAAAAAATTACCCTTGAAACATATCCGCATGCTGCCAGACGTTACTAATGGTCAAAAATTGGTTAAACAATTTTTTTTTAAACAAATTCGTAATTTTCGATTTTTTCGCTCGAAATAATTTTTTTTTGGCCTTTTTGGGGTATCCTGAACAAAAAAGGTTAATAGGCAGCTTTTCTCTAAAATCTACCGTTTTCGAAATATTAATAATTCGAACAAACGCGATTTTAACCATTTTCAACGTCTATAAACTATATTAAAAATTGCAATTTTTAGTGTTTCCAAAATTTTTAAATAATCTTTGAACATCCTTTAACAAATATCCGAAGAGTACGCCGGCAAATTTTATTCTGAACACTTGTTTTTTTATTGTTAATAAGGTGCGTGCGCAGCGTTTCTTGGCCCCGAATTAGGTTTGAGTGCGGATGTACGAGTTTGTCTACGTCAATTACAAAATTCGAAATGGCGGATCCAATATGGAGGAATGGAAGAAAAACATTTGGAATGAAGAAATGAAGAAATTTTTGTCAAATATTGCACAAAATTACAAGAAAATATAAATTTAGTGATTTAATGCAATTTTTTCGTAAACAAATCTTGAAAGTTTCAAATTACGACGACTATAACACTTATTCTTCAGCTCTCAGCCCAAAAATAACATAATTACGATTTCGATATTCAAGATGGCGGATCCAATATGGCGGATTCTGTATCCCATTATAAATATGTCTTTCTAAAGGTCAAAGGGCCCTTCATATAAATAAGACCCCTTTTCAAAGATACTCCTTGTATAAAATTCAAATTGCTAACGTACATAGTGACAAAGCGATAAACAGAATTAATAAAGTCAAATTGAAATAAAAAAACTCGGAGAAAAACTGACTATTGAATCAATTTTTCACTCACCTATGAGCGATCGTAAGCACAGTACAATCGGAAAACTTATTCCTGATAGTGTTCTGGATCAAAGAATCCGTGTGAGGATCGACGTTGGCAGTGGCTTCGTCCAGAACTAGAATTTTATTGTGTCTTATAAGAGCCCTAGCGAGACAGACCAACTGTCTTTGTCCTACACTGAAGTTAGTGCCGCCTTCAGAGACGTTAGTGTTCAAACCAGCTGGTAATTCGGCTATCACATCCTTCAACTCTACCTGCTCTAAAGCTCTCCATAGAACTTCGTCACTGTATTCCTCGAATGGGTCCAGATTTTTCCTCATTGTTCCTAAAATTGCATTTCACGTCAATCAAAACGAATAACATTTTTAAACTAAAAGTTGTACCTGAAAACAATACTGGTTCCTGCGGGATAATAGAAATTTTAGTCCGCACCTGATCCAAAGGCAACTTAATACTATCCACGTTGTCTATAATAATACTTCCTTCCACGTCATACAGCTGGAAAAGCGCTGAAATCGTGGAAGACTTTCCAGCACCCGTCCTGCCGACAATGCCTATTTTTTCATTGGGCTGGACAACGAAATTCAAACCCTTAAGTACGTACGGATCATCTTCACTATATCTTAATTTCACGTCTTTGAATTCCACTTGTCCTTGCTCTGGCCAGTCAACCGGCAGATTTTTGTTCTCTTCTCTTTCCGGCTCGCTTTCCAGCTTAGTATATTCCAGGACTCGCTCCACGGAAGTCATTTGGTTCTCTAGTTCGCTCCACTGTCTCATACCCCATTGCAGTGACCCCATCAGACCCATGTATTGGGTCAGTATTAGGCCTAGATCGCCGCCGTACATTTCTAGAAATCAAAACATTAGTAAAAATTATTAACTAGAATATATGTTACATTATACAAGTTCGAAAAGTCCCTATGGGGAGATAGAGAAGGATGGCTATAATGAAGGCGTCTCATAATCACCGCCCGTTTCGCCCTTCCACAAATAAGATCCACTTCCACTTGTAATTCAGCGACCGGTGGTCATCTTTGTTTTCGTCGTTTGCCTTTTTTTTAATAGATGTCACTACTTATACAATTCCGACTCCGGTATTCCGATATGTTAACACAATCCGTTAACAGAGGGCAGCACAACGCGTAACAAAGAAAACTTTTTACAGTAGCTAGTAGATACCTCCGCTTGTAAATCTAGTGACCTTATTTCCCCTACTGAGAAGTTATTCAAATGGAGTATAGTGCTCAGCTACATTTAAAGTTCATTTTGTTGTTATTTAAGTATACTTTGCCCTCTGTTAACGGATTGTATTAACATATCGGAATACCGGAGTCGGAATTGTATAAGTAGTGACATCTATTAAAGAAAAGGCAAACGACAAAAACAAAGATGACCACCGGTCGCTGAATTACAAGTGGAAGTGGATCTTACTTGTGGAAGGGCGAAGCCCGTTATAACCATCCGTTATATACGTTATAGCCATCCTTCTCTATCGCACGGATTTCTATGACCTACTTTGTCGCTCTCACGTAACGGCAGATGTACCATGGGGACTTTCCGAACCTGTAGATCGACTAGATCATTAATGCATACCTTGGTTGAATCCTAATAGGAAGAATAACCCGGTCGTAATAAAGGCGATACAGCACATGTCAAGCCAAAAGCCGAAACACCTGCTGGAAGAGATAAACAAGAACCACGCTGCGCTGTGGATGTCTTGCAAATCGTCGAACTCTTCAATAAGTAACTCTTGCCTGGAGAAAGCTCTGATGGTGCTGAGTCCGCTCATGGTGGCAGTCATGTGACTGAACATGGGACTTTTTGCTGGAAAAAAGTGTTTTCTCCTTTAAATGTCCTAATATTTGGTTAAACCACTTACTTATAGATTCAATACGTTTGACACTTCTACTAGTTTCAATGTAGATCAATCGCAGGAAGTAGAACAAGATCATTACTACCGTAGAAGGAAGGAGTAGCCAGGGATTAACGATCGACGATAAAATAATGACGCCAAGCAGTAGAAGGGCGATCTAGAAACACGAATCGTCAGAAATAATAGCTTTATACGAAATGATACTCACCTCTATAACGTCTATCATAACTGACGGGATATATTCGTCGATAGTGCCCAAGTCTTTTGAAAATCTGTTAAGGATTCTTCCGGAAGGATTTAGGTTGTAAAATCGCATCGTAGCCCTTATTATTCTGGAGAATATGAAGTCGTGTAAGTTTCTGGAAGCTATCGTGAAGAACAGCATGAAGTAGATTGACTTTACCACAGCAACAATTATGGTTCCTAAAGTAATAGCCGAGTAGAAGTAGATTATATTGTCTCTTGGAATTGTATAGTTTTCCGTTGTAAGATTGTTTGCCACTCTTTCTGCAAAGTCTTGTTCCAAATTCACCCTAGAATGTAAAAATATAATAGTGCAATAGTTAAATAAAAGCCTTCTTACCAATATGTTACAAAATATTCCCCTCCGTTGGCAACAATTTGACATAAAATGAACAAAAATACCAGGAACATTATCGAGATGCGGCCACCTCCTGCCCTGAAGTATAACCAATAGGTGGATGCTTTGATTTTGCCGCTGCTCTGAGCTTCTTTTTCAATTTGTTGGTCTTCGTCTTCATCACTTTCTTCCTCCATTTCAGAATTTTGCCTGGACTTGATCTTCTTTTTCTCTTTCTCCTCCGCTTCGTTGTCCTGGCACTGTTTCAACAGTTTCACAAAGTTAACTCCGGTGGTTTGGAGTTCATCGTATTTGCCTTCTGCTTGTATCTCCCCATCGTTCATGATAATTATGTTGTCGGCGTTTTGCAGATATTGGAGTTGGTGTGTGACAAGGACGCATATTTTGTTCCCCAAAAATTCCTTGATGCACTTATCGTACAAGTGTTTCCCGACGTTGGCGTCCACCGCTGACAAAGGGTCATCCAGGAGGTAAATGTCTGCCATCTTATAAACGCACCTAGCCAGGTTTATTCGAGCTTTCTGGCCTCCGCTTAGAGATTTTCCTTTCTCTCCAACTAGGGTTTTGTCCCCGAAGGGGAACAAGGCGAAGTCTGACCTCAACGCGCAAGCATCTACAACTTTCTGATAGCGGTCCTCATCGTAATCTTCGCCGAAGAGGATGTTTTGCCTGACGTTCCCAGTGAACAGCCAAGGTTCTTGGGAGGAAAACGAGATTTTTCCGGCTATTTCCATCTTCCCAGATTTCAGAGGTAGTTCTTTCAGCAGCAGGTTAAGCAGGCTGCTTTTTCCACTGCCTACAGGTCCTACTACAGCTAGTAGTTGACCGGAGGAGACGGTTAAGTTAATGTTATGTAAAGTATCTTCAGTCGCGTCATCTAGCCACTTGGCTGTTATGTTTTGTAAAAGGATTTTGGGCTTTACGGATTTATTGTAGGACTCCAAGATTCCCAGTTCACTTTTCAAGGAACCATTCGTGAGACTACCGTTCATGTCGTTAATTTTGTCAATTGACTTAAGAAGACCATTGTCCTTTTTCTTCTCCTCCTTAGTTTTTTCATCCAAAACATAGTCAGCACGTTCCTCGTAAGTCAAGATGTTGTTCAACCTCACAATTGACACGTTTACTTCTGCCAAACTAGACAGACTTATAGAGAAGAGAATCGTGATTACCGGTCTTAGAACGTTGTAAACGGCAGTTATTGCAAATACCTTTTCAGCGGTAACGTAGTTGCCCAACAACACGTATCCTAGGATGCTTATGAATATCGATGTTCTTGATATGAATATTTCGAAGGAGTAGATCAGTCCTATCAAGTAGGCGTGGGCACGAATGGCGTTTATTTCTTTCCTAAAAATGAAACAAGTTGTGTTACCGCGTACCGCTAGTCGAATTTGATTTTACCTTCTGGCGAAGGCTATGAGTTGTGCGAACGGTTTTTCCCAACAGTACATCTTGATGACTTGGATTCCGGATATAACTTCGTTCATCAAGCGTACCCTTTCATCTGTTCTTAAGGCTGTGCGCAGTCTTAGCACCGAAGTCCTTTTGGCAAGCCAAACTGGAAAAGAATCGCAAAGATTTAAATAAGCAACCATCAAATTCAAAATGTAGTGCCGGGGAAGAATATAGAGTGTCTAAATATTTTTATGGTTTATGCCGTATATAGGCAACCCCCGACCCCCGGGCTGGATCCGGCCCTCCGCCAACTTCAATTCGGCCCGCGAGAGATTCAGAAAATTCAATTAAAGATATCACTTCAACACTGGAACGCCACAGATCGAGTCAGAAATAGTCCTTAGAAAGAGATAAACAGATAAACATTCGGGAAGCCGCCCGATGCGCTTGACGCACTCTCGAACGATCGATAGTATTCTAGTTGTTTATTGGGGGTAATATATAAACCGCTCAGCGCGCGTGTCATCTCCTTACCTCTTAACAACTGATAAAGTTTGTATCGCATATTCGCGTACGGTCAAGAGTACGACGCGGGAAATATTCCAGCAAATTCTATCAACAGTACTTTTGAGCAATATAGTTTGCAGTGGTGTAAATTTGTTGGAGTGTGCACATATGGTGCGCCTTCAATGGTCGGTTCACGAAAAGGTTTTATCGGAATTCTGAAGGAAAGAGCAACCGCTATGAATGTGCAAGAATGTGATTTAATAATTATGCATTGTATTATTCACCAACAAAATTTGTGCTCTAAGTCCATTCGACTGAAAAATGTTATGGATGTGGTAGTAAATACCATTAATTTCATTAGATTCCGCGGTCTTAACCATCGCTAGTTTAAAGCATTTTTGGATGAACGCTCTTCAGAACACGATGATGTAACATACTATTGCGAAGTAAGGTGGCTAAGCAAAGGTAAAATGCTAAAAAGGTTTTATGACCTTAGAAAAGAAATAGCTGAGTTTATGGAAATGATAGAGAAAACATTGCCGCAAATTTGTGATCCAACTTGGCTTTGTGACTTGGCATTCCTGGTAGACATCACAGGACACTTAAACGACCTGAACTTGGAAGCTTCAAAAACAAGGGCAATTGGTAAATCAGCTGTTCAGTCATCTTAAAGCTTTTCAAAACAAAATTCGCTTGTGGGAAACACAAATGAGAAGTAAAAACTGTTTTCATTTTTTAACATTATCCAGGATTTTAAGAATATGGATAGCACTTTTAATATTTTTGCAAATCCTTGTAAGTGTAATGTGGAAGATGCTCCGCATTACCTACAAATGGAATTGATCGAGCTTCAAGAAGACTCATGTATTTGAAGTTTAAATTTTATGATGTGGAACTAAGCGAATTTTACAGAACATACCTTTCCGAAGTATCCACAGCTGAGAGTTTTCGCACGAAAAATAATTTGCACATTCGGAAGCACGTATAAATGTGAGCAGCTTTTTTCAATCATGAAAATTAATAAAAATAAGCACCGTACTCGGCTTACAGGTGTTAATTTAGAAAACACTTTGCACCTGTGTATTACTGATATTGACCCCAATATTGATCATCTTGTTTCTCAGCTTCAAACTCAAGTATCTCATTAATTTTCATTTGATTTTTCTATATTTTTTTATTAATTTGCTTTTTATACGTTTGATTACGATATTATAATTAATAAATAAAAAAATGTGTGAATTTTTGTGGCATTTTATTCACTACTACCTACTTATTTCTAGCCTACGGCCCGCGACCTGATTAGTACCGAAATTACGCCCTCAGCTAAGCAAAGGTTGCCCATACCTGATGTAGATCCTTGGATCATTAAAAATGAATTTCGTTTGAAAATAATTTGATTTGATTGACATTATTACAAGTATAGAAGTGCAAGTACAAGTCCGCCACTGGTATGTTATCCATATCTGGGAATAACTCGCGTTTCTATATTTTCCCAGATGGGCGCCGCGACGCGACGCCAGACAAAGACGTACATTGCACCTCGGTTGGTAATTTTCCAAATGAGTTGCGTCGCCAGTCGAGTGCCAAGACAGATATCCATCATTTTATTCCATATTACGTCTGGCGACGCTATTGTACAACATAATTTGGGAAATACAACTTTTACAAGAAAACTGGAGTAGGTATGCTGTCGAAGTACAACTTAATCGCGTATGTCCTACATTTTAAGACCATCGCCTTTCGTCACTCAATTAATAAAACACTGTTGACTCAAGTTGAAAGTAATGATGGTTGGGATAAAATAACGTCATAAACTTCATTGCTGTTTACTAACAAAACAATAATCGTTCATCGACGTTGTACGGCTTGCACGGCTTAACAACACGCACCAAGTAAACAGTTTTATAGAGATATAATTAAAATGTGCTTGTGTTTACTGAGACAAACACTTATTGGTTAACTGTACTGTTGCAAGGGATATTTTAGTGATTGAATAATTCATGCTTCGCATATAATCCTACATTAGCATAATTTGCTGTTAGAATAGTTGCAGAAATATAGAAATAAGTAAGTTCTTGTTTCTAGGCAGTAAATACGAGGTATGTTCAGAAAATAACCGAACTTTTTGAATTACACGCTAAAGGAGATGTTTAGGCTGCGTTCAGCGAATGGTCGGATCGGTTAAGGTCATTCAGCGGACATTTCGTTGGTCAGCCCAATCAGCTCATTGGGGATATTGGGCAGGTTTTAGAATGTGACATCAGTGGGCAGGTTCGTTCAGGGAGTATGACTGTGTGTCTTCTGTGTCAATAGTCTGTGTTCTGTGATCAACAGGTTATGTTGCTGCTTTTATTTTCACTAATTTGAGTAATTTGTAAACTCTCATCATACTCTGATTATAGCAATCGTTAACAACAACTGAGTAGCGGCTGTCAACGTAAAATTTTCATAAAACTGTTTCCCCAGTTTCACTTTCACGGAAATGTTTCAACTTTTGAAACAAGCTTCTGGAGCACCAGGTCGTACTCAATGTTACGAATGGTTTTCACGATTTAAAAGTGGTTGTCAGTAAATTGAAGATGATCCTCTACCAGAAAGGCATTCGACTCCAACTGATGACACCCACGTTCAGAAAGTCGAAGATCTGGTACGTGCAAATTGTCGATTGACTGTCGGAGAAATTGCAGAAGAAACTGGCATCTCAAATGAAATGAAATTTTGAGTGAAAAATTGAACACGCACCGAATTGCAGCAAAATTGTTCCTTGTTTAATGACAAACAGAAAGGACAGAAAGAAAATCTTGTGGATGTTTGTTGGCAACTGTTTGAACAATCCAATGACGATGAAACATTCATTACGATGATCATAACGGCATACGAGAGCTGGGTTTACGAATACGACATTGAGACAAATGTTCAATCATCACAAAGGATCTTCACACCCCAAGAAAGAACGTCAAAGTGATGGTCTCTGTTTTTTTCCGAAACTAAAGTCAGTGCTGAAAGGACGCCATTTTCAGACTACTGATGACATCAAAGCAAATTCGCCACATACTTCCAAAGTCCATTTCAAATGAAGCTATTCAGGACAGCTTCGGGAAATGAGAAAAGTCTGTAAATATGAAATGTTCTTCGGATAGCGAATGATATACATAAAAAATTATAATTTTGGGGTTGTATTCGGATTCGGCGACCTAAAAAACATAGGAATGTATATCCGAAGAACGTTTTTCAATTTTGATACTGCCGTTATGAAATCGCTAAAGTACCAAACTTCATTTAATGATATCTCCGAGAAAAAAAATTGTTTTTCAAAGAAAACGGCATTTTGAGAGTTCTACTTTTAGATGACCTGACTCGTTTTCAGAAAAAAAAAATCGCGATGTAATATAAGGTTCAATAGAGCAAAAAAAACGCGTTTTTCGCACTTTTAGGTTACGATATATCGAGAGCGTGACGTGATGGAGCAATTCTGAGATCGGATTCGCATTCTACGCAAAAAATTACTTCGGAAATCACCCTCAGCTTCTCTAGAACAAACACAACCACTTTTTTGCAGATCGTGTGTAATGTATCAAACTGATAATAAAGTTAAAAAAAATAAATTTCGGTTATTTTCTCTTGTATCATGAAAACTAGAGGAGATATCTAAGGTCTGTTGTGCGGTTCATAAAAATGACTTCAATTTTGTGTGCAAATGAAATTTCACTTAGGAGCTGGATTGGGAAAGAGCGCTTACGCTAGAAAGAATAAGACGCAGGCGCGGCGATTTAGGATAGGGGTTTTTCCCCGTCCGTGTCCACTGCGCATCTGTAGGCGGGCCGCAAACTTATTTGTGTGTCTGTAGATTTACACTGAAACACCGTCAGTGCCACTGTCGTCTGTACGCACTGTGAGACAATTACAGGGTTGCAGAATCCTTTTTAATGGAAGTTCCTAATTTTACCACGATTCTACCACTGTCATAGTAGAGCTAGACATTTTCTGTCTCTGTTGCTTACGCATGACTCTGTCGATCCGCTTGGCACGTTATTGAATTGCGGCTCTCTCTGACAGCTTTAGTTATAAGGATGTTTTTTGGATTTTAAGTAAAATTATTGTCCGAGATTTTTATTACATCAGTGGAAAAGTTAGTAGACCGATCAAAATAACTCATTTAGAGGGAAAAAAAGAAAATTGTTACTTAGACTTTTATAAGTGGAAATGGTAAAGGGGCTTATATAAACGAAAAAAAAAAAATAAATGCGTGAGCAGGGGCGGCGGAGGGTTTATTTTTAGGGTTGAAAAGTTATGAAAAATTGTATCATTGGGATTTCTGGCGAAAGTTGACGTCAAACAAAAAGGTATCCTATGCAAAAGTTGTAGACCATGCAAAAATCTACAACTTTTGTAGAAGTCACTTTTTAATATAACTTCAAAATATCCGAGAAAAATGCGAAAAACAGGTTTTTTTCTGATATTTCGTTTTTTATTTCTCATTTTCGCAAAAATAATTTAATTTTGACGAATCTCGGTGAAAGTATACCTTTCTCTGTCTTAAATAACCTCAAATTTTTTTAGATAAAAAAATCAAGAAGTTTCTGAGATATTCATTTTTTCGGCCTGAAACACTTTTTTCTCAAAGAAAAATTCTACTTAAAAAAATCATCGTACAGAGTTCTGCCGGCAATCATTTTTTTCGTTTTGACATACTTATACTTTTTGGTGAAATAAAAAAATTTGTAATCACAAAAACATGCTCAAAAATGCAAAAAAGTAAAAAATTACTTGCAGCAATGAATTTTTCAATTGTTGATAATTTGTTTAAATTTTAAAAAAATCAAAATTCAATTGTACGGAAAAAATAATAAAATACAAAAAAACTGTCTCATTGTTTGACCCAAAACTATTTTTGTACAGTATTGCTATAAACATAAGTCGAATAGTGAATAAATAAAATAATCATTTTTTTTCGTAGGATCGATTAGTGTACTAATTTTTTTTTTAAAGTTTGATGAATTCATAGATATACAGTGTGTCCAAGATAAGGATGAGATAGCATTAGGATCTAGGAAACGGTAAGAGATACGGGGTGGCTCAGTTTAGAAAAAAGTTGTGTTTTTTAATTCCTAACAATAAGCTGTTTAGAAAGTTTTAAAATCCCGGTAGTTCCGGAGATATCCGGAAAAACCGGAAATTTTGCAAAATTGTTTAATAGTTTCTGGCTTTATTTGAAAACGAATTTTAAAATAAATTACATATTTACAATTCCACTTTTTTCGCTCTATACAATTGCGCAAAATTTTTGCAATCCGACGTTTCGTCTTAGAGGGGCCATCATCGGGTTAATTTTTTTAAATACGTCGCTGCTATTTTTATGATAAAATCTGAAGTCATTTTTAATTCTGAATTAGAGGAGATTACTATTGTAATCGCTTAAAAAGTTTTTAGCTTGTTTTAGCTATAACTTAAAATTTTTCCCGAGTCTCTAATACTAATTAGAAATAATAAAATATTTCATAAATTCGTATTATTTTTTATTAGGTACAACTTTTTAAATTTTGGATTAAAAATATTGTTGGATATTTTGTGCTGTATTGACTTTTATTCTCTCCTCCCTCTTTCTCTCCTCCAATAGATACAGGTATTTTGAAAGCGTTCAGAGCCGTACTCAGGAAAATTTTTAATTATAGCTAAAAACCTTTTTAAGCGATTACAATAGTAATATCATCTAATACAGAATTAAAAATGACTAGATTTCGTCATAAAAATAGCAGCGATATATTTAAAAAAAGACGAAACGTCGGATTGCAAAAATGTTGACGCCATTGGATAGAGCGAAAAAAGGGGCAATGTAAATATGCAATTTATTTAAAATTCGTTTTCAAATAAAGCCAGAAAAAAATAAAACGGTTTTGCAAAATTTCGGGTTTTCGGATTTCGCGTCAACAGTAGACTTTGCAGATAATACTGTATTGCTGAAATCTCAAAACATCCTGAGATAATTTATCATTTGTGCATTTGTAATTTGACTTAGATGTTTATAGCAATACTGTGCAAAAATAAAATTTTGGGTCAAACAATGAAACACAGTTTTTTTTTTTTTTTTTTTCCGTAGAACTGAATGGTGTAATCAGTTTTTGAATGTTTTTTAATTTAAATAAATTACCAACAATAACTGTAAAATTCATTGTTGCAAGTAATTTTAATTTTTTTTTGCATTTTGAGCATGTTTTTGAAATGTTATTATAGATTTTTTTATTTCACCAAAAAGTATATGTCAAAACGAAAAAAATTATTACCGGCCGAACTCTGTACGATGATTTTTTCAAGTAGAATTTTTCTTTGAAAAAAAAGTGTTTCAGGCCGAAAAAAATGAATATCTCAGAAACTTCTTGATTTTTTTATCTAAAAAAATTTGAGGTTATTTAAGACAGAGAAAGGTATAGTTTCACCAAGTTTCGTCAAAATTAAATTATTTTTGCAGATATGAGAAGTAAAAAACAAAAAAATCAGAAAAAAACTGTTTTTCGCATTTTTCTCGGAAATTTTGAGGTTATGTTAAAAAGTGATTTTTACAAAAGTTGTAGATTTTTTCATGATCTACAACTTTTGTATTGGATACTATTTTGTTTAACCTCAACTTTCGCCAGAAATCCCAATGATACAATTTTTCATAACTTTTCAGCCCCCCAAATCAGCCCTCCGCCGCCCCTGCTCACGCATTTATTTTTTTTTTAGATTTATTATAGCCCTTTTACCATTTCCACTTATAAAAGTCTGGGTAACATTTTTTTTCTCCAAGTGTAATTTGGTTGAACTATAGAGGTTTTATTGGAATAAATTTTTTTATAGAATGTTCTGATAATTTTTTTCATTTCTCTCAGCTAGAATATTTTTTAAATTGTTATTTTTGTTTATTGAAAAGTGTGTTTCATGTTTACCCTAGCGCCTGCCCTGAGATTTTCAACACTGCATACTTCTGCCTCTTTTCAATTGCGTAAACATTTTTTTTATTTCAAACTGGATTTGTTCTGTGTGTAAGTTGTTTTTTTTTTATAACGTGGGTTACCCAGTGACGAACCGCAACTAACAAACAACCGTTACTAATTTGCATTCCGGGAAAAGCCTGAATTGCACAAAACGAGCGTTATCTCCGGTTTCGCATGTAACACTTACTCTGCAGGGGGACAAAGGAGACCAAAAAGGCGACCCCGAACAAAGCTGCCATTCCGATTTCTCTGTACAGGAGCCAGGTTCCCACGCCGACCTGTATCGGCCCCACCCATACGAAATGGGCCAGGACGAAGCCCTGGTCGAATTTGCTGACGTCGTTAGATAATAGATTCACTAGTTGTCCCACTGTCGTGTTTCCCAGCGCGGTTCTGCTTAATCTGAGGATTTTTCGGTACACTACCGAGCTACACGCCACCCTTAACTTCATGGAGATGTGCTGAAGGGCCATCATCGACGGGTGGGCTATGATGCAGTCTAGGAAAAGGCATATGATGTACGATCCAGCGTAAATGTACGCCTCGTTTGGGGAAATTCGAGTCTGGCCTTTTTCGAAAAAGGACACCAGTTTTCCTATGGCTAAGGGCAGCACAATTCTGGAATTTAAAGAAAATATAAGGATTTCCAGCTAAAGGTGACATTAATAATGATTTTTAATACTGGTAAAATGAGCTACTTTGCGACTGTTGGAATTTGAGATGGTGAGTATCAGAACGACAACATGTATCTGTTGGCTTCGACAAAGTTTTTCATAAAATTTGGGTGAATTTTAGTATACAGGTTCGGAAAGTCCCCATGATTCATCGGCCGTTACGTGAGAGCCATAAAGTAAGTCATAGAAATCCGCGCGATAGATAAGGATGGCTATAATGAAGGCGTCTCATAGTCACCGCTCGTTTCGCCCTTCCTCAAATAAGATCCACTTCCACTTGTAATTCAGCGACCGGTGGTCATCTTTGTTCTCGTCGTTTGCCTTTTCTGTAATAGATGTCACTAATTCCGACTTCGTATTCCGATATGTTAATACAATCCGTTAACAGAGGGCAGCACAATTTGTCTAAGGTGAGGCGCAGCCCTAGAAAGAGTGATGCCAAATCTACAGATCTTTTTGGAATTGGGGAAATAGGGAATTTTGCTTTATTTCTTGGGAGTCTTAAGTCATTTTAAAAAGTATACTTAAATAACAACTAAATGAACTTTAACTGCAGCTGAGCACTGTACTCCATTTAAATAACTTCTCAGTAGGGGAAACAAGGTCACTAGATTTACAAACCGACGTATCTACTAGCTACTGTAAAAAGTTTCCTTTGTTACGCGTTGTGCTGCCCTCTGTTAACGGATGGTATTAACATATCGGAATACCGGTGTCGAAATTGTATAAGTAGTGACATCTATTAAAGAAAAGGCAAACGACGAAAACAAAGATGACCACCGGTCGCTGAATTACAAGTGAAAGTGGATCTTATTTGTGGAAGGGCGAAACGGGCGGTGACTATGAGACGCCTTCATTATAGCCATCCTTCTCTATCGCACGGATTTCTATGACTTACTTTATCGTCCTCACGTAACGACCGATGAACCATGGGGACTTTCCGACAATGTATCTGCAAAACCCACACACCATCAGGTGAGGTTTTTTAATAATTAACAATAAAAGGTCTAAAATAACTCGAAATATCACTTTTTGCCTACCAGAAAAAAACGATAATTTTTATTATAATGTGAAAGTAACCAACTTGTAGGGAATAAAAAAACCCTTTAAAATGGCGGTTTTTCAAATCCGATACGATAATTTGTTACTGCAAAAAACTGTCAAAATTCGATTATTACTAAATAAACAATAAGTTTTGCAAAAGTCAACCTACGACTTTGATATTTTGATACATAAATAGTTGGCTTTTATAGTCCTTAATATGTGATTAAAATTTCAGAGCGATTAATCCAATAGTTTTGGCAACATTCTAAATGTTTATCCCAGAGGCATTATTTTTGCAATAACTTGACACGCAAAATTACCAAGATATTTTAATTCTGCGAGTGTCATATGAAAGAGAAAGACTTCCTTTATTGGAAGAAATTATTTTATTGCAAAAAAATTGTTTTTTACCACTGCAAAAACGTACCATAAAAACACTGCCATTTTTGTCTTATAAACAATTAAAATAAATTTGTTGCTATTATATTTAGAGAGGTTATTTTTCCATATTCGTAAAGCTGGTATTTTTTCACAAATTTAAAAAAAAAGTTGCTCTAACTTAATTTGGGGCAAAGTTAGACACTTTTTAAAAAAAATCACAGCTACTTTGTTTATAACAATTAAGACTTCTAATAAGTGCCATTTCGAAGATAAAGAGCTAAAGTTTCTATGTGAAATTTTTGAGGGCGACAGCTTTGTAACAGCATCTCTGAAAATGCTCCAAATAATGACTTTGATACAAGATGACTGTGAGTCAGTGGAGGGGGAACGTACAAATCCACGAGCAAATTAATAGAGCAAGTTATATCTCTGGAACCTGTCGACCGATCTTGATGTTTTTTTTTAATTTGGGGTACCTTCTTGCGTACATCACAAATATGCATTTTGTTAATTAATAAAAATTTAAATTAATCCAGTAATTTGTTTAAACATTAAAAAAATTTTTTTTGCAAAATATCAACATCTTTTGTATTTTTTTTGTAATGGAACATTATAGGAATGATTAAATATCATTTTTTAATACATTAATATTGCAATTAACTAAGTATTTTGTTTAAACTTTTACCAAAAAAAAAAGTTTAAATTATCAACATTTTCGAGTTATTTTGACGGAAAGTTATAGATATAGTTTAAATTTTTTTTCTTATTAATAAATTAACATTTAAATAATTGAATAATTTGTTTAATGCATGCATTTCATCATTTTGGTGTATTCATCAGAACTGAACAAGCATTCAAAATTTGAAAGCCGTAAATTTAGAGGAAGTGGTTCAAATTTGGCTTGCAAGATTTGATGTAAACATTCATACAAACAAGCAAAAACATACATGACGTTAAATAAAAGCTTGCAAAAAATACCCGCCTCTCCTTGACGAAAGGTCCTTAACTTACCCTTTCAAGTAATTTTTTGAGTAGCTTTTTTCTGTTGTCAATTTAAAAATATATTTTAGATAACTTGATTTATGCGGAACAAATTCTAACTCTAATATTTTTTCCTAAATTTAATAGTTTTTTAACAAAAAAATAATTTATAATACATTAAGCACTAGCGATGTTACATGTATGTATATGACATATACGATCTATAATAACAACAATGTTTTATCAGGTCAAAACAGTTCTAATTCCTTTGAATTTAAAAGTAATCGTATATTGGTCTATAATCTCCTGGCATGATTTTGCATTATGTAATATCACATTCTGTTTGGAAGCGCTTAAAATATAAAACAAAAGTTAAAGGTTACCTTGTTAACACAAAGCCAACTGTTTCAAAGTAACTAGTGTTAAATTAACAGCAGCGTAAAAAATCAATGATGAACATCACCTGTAATTAAACCACTAAATTCAGAATAACCTACTCTAATTTTTTAAATTTACGGAAATATTTAGTATATTTTCACTTGTCTATATATACAAAATATTTTTTCTTTACAACAAACTTACAAATGCGCTTTTATTTTTCTTGTATCATCATAACTCCTGCATTTTTAATAAAATATTGTAAAACAATTTTTGCAAAACCTTTAAAAACCAAATATCCATAGATATGGAAGGTGTCGCGAATATGCCCTGTTTATAAAAAAAAGTAGGTACTAAGAACGACATAACTAATTACCGGCCCGTAGCTATTATAAGTACCTAGCTTCTCTAAAATCCCAGAAATAATTTTATATAATCGACTTTATTTTTATATTGAAAAAAATATATTTCCATACCAACACGAATTTATATATCATAATAGTCATTCAACTACCTTAAATCTAGTTGAAGCTTTCGATCGGCTTAATCATAATTTATTAACATCGAAATTGGAATCATATAGTACTTTAGCTGCTCTGTTATCTTTGTTTAAATCTTATTTTAGTAATGGATTTGTGCAGTATCGCATCAATCATGTAGATTCCATCAATCTTCAGGAGTTCCGCAAGGATCAACCCTGGGGCCATTGCTGTTTGTTATTTTTACTAATGACTTAATTGAATGCCTTGATGTCAATTACTTAATATATGCGAACGACCTCCAGTTGTTCTTGGAAGTTAAATCTTCTACTAATTGTACTAGATTACAAGACAATCTTGATAGCTTATATAGTTGATGTTCAAATAATAAATCTATTTTCGAATATAAGGAGTTGTTTGGAGTCCCATTTATACAGATTATTCATTTTATTAGTTACGGCGTTTATTCTCCTCCTGGTACACCTCAAGAATTATTGCTTTCTTGTTTTAATATTAATAATGTCTGTCATAAGCGAAATATGTTTTCAATCATATTTCTTTTGAAAATTATAAATAATAATTTAAATGCAGAATCGTCAGTTTGAAAATTTTATATCATGTTTCTAGATTTCACTCTGTTTATATATTTAATGCTAGTAGTCCTTTTTTTCAATTTAGTTATGGTAATAATTCTTAAAGATTTCGAGATTGCGACATACCGGAATGAAATATCAGTAACCTCAATGCAAGGGGCTAAATGACATTGAGCAATATATCTTAATGAAATCTCGAAAACCATCACAAATTAGCCTCATTTTACGGTACATTAAAATATACTTACATCAACATTAACTCGTTTAGCAACTTGATGATACCTACAAACATAAAAAATGCACCGAATAACCTAAAAAGGGCTCTGTGGAGAGCCGTTTTCTTGTGTATCCTGTATTCCTCTTTCCATAATCTTTCTAATTCCGCTCCTAGTTTGCTAGATTTGTGTTCGTCCAAAGGTCCAAATAGATCGTCCTCTGTCAGGTTTTCTTTGAAGGCTTTTTTGAAGATCGGAAACATGTATCTGGAAAAAATAGACGCAGTAAATGAAGTTGCCCTGTTACATCGCCTTATTGGTTACGTATATTGCAAGTTTGCCAACTCATATGTAGAGAAAATTATTTGGAATAAGGCCCACACTCAAAACAAACGCATAAGTACTTAATCTAAATTGTTTTACTAAATTATTGCTTTATGTTTAGGTGCTCGCTGTTTTTTGTTGTTGGTATGTGACGAAATAGACTGACAGAAAATCAAAATTGGGAAGAAAATGCTGCCTCTAGTTTTGCTTGTATTGATGATGATTTTAATGTTGTTTTGCTGTATTTAAATTTTATTTCTGTAGTGACTAAAAAAATTTTATTACTAGTAATTGAAATTTGATTTTAGTTACTAAGACACTTAACAAAACTGCAACAAAGGCAAAATCATTTTTTATTCATCTTTTTAAAAATATAAGTTAGAATAAAAATGCGTCCGTTTCTGTCTCTTTGTAATGTGGAATATAGGTAACCCCAATCCTCGATTTCTGACTTAAATAATAAATCAATGTCAAACTATTACCTATATTTAGTTAGCGATTTTAAATTTTCATTGTAAACATTCTAGCCTCATTACCTGGCATTCCCCACAAACATTAAGAAAGGGGTTTTACACGGATGTGACCCTGGAAATTTCATATACCTGCCTAAGTTTATTTCACATTTATTTTCTATTCAACTGGATAATTCGCATAGTATGCGAAACAAATGAGGAACAAAACGTGTATTATAAGGAACTACGTAGGCCTTGGAAAGAAACAATCGACTGTCAAATGAAAAAACCCTGCTGCTATTATTTTGGAGCACTCTGTATCTATGCGTACCATTCCACCGAAAGAACATCGATATACGTTGAATCGCAATTCACAGCGAGAGTTCAGGTTGGTGTCAATGCTCTGCGAAGAAAATTTTACTTTAGCGAGTCGAAGGAAAGGTCGCTTAACTGAAATTATTCACGGAACAAGCCGTCAGACCGGCAACTTAAATCATTTATTAATGGAGGTCGAGGCCTGTTACGTTACAATTTAAATATTGGAAGGAAAAAATCGTTACCAAAAGTGATTGTATTTGTATGTTTGATAATACTAATGCGTTTATCATTTTAGAAATAAGTATGTTGTGTGGTTTAAAAAATGTTGGACCTACTACAGAATATAAATTAAATAAGACTGGATTAATTACAGATTAAATCAATAAAAATAAATAGTGTCTAATGATAATGATATAATCGATGAATGGTAAGAGAAACAGTTTTATTAAATTTACAGAAATATTGCTCTACTAGGTAACTTTATCAAGTGATACCTTACTGAAGAAAAATTTTATTATATTCTACTTTTCGAGTACCAACCGAAGTAATCAATTTATGGAACTGAATAATAAGTACTCAAGTTAATTACTTTTTTAATGAAATTTCTAATAAATTGGGCAGTTTTATCATACAGGTTTTTTTTATAGAATTAAATAGCATATGAAGTATATAATAAGGTCAGTAAGACACTTAATATCCGCAGTGATTAAGACGTTTTTTTTCAGGCTGTAATATTGAACAAATTTAATTAAAATAAAAAATATATATATTTTAAAAATATATTAAACAAATAAATCGTATGTACAGGGTGATTCACTATATTCTGACCCCCCCTTTAACTTCTTTGTTTTAAGAGTTATAAAAAAATATGAAATACAAAAGTTGCACGATTTATTATAAAGTTTTCGAAAATGGTGGTAGAAAAACAAATGAAGTCCAAACAAAACGGCCGCGGATGTTAACTTTGTTAATTTAAATGGAACACCCTGTATATTTTTACATATTAGGATAGAACGTTCCCTGTCGAGCATAGTCATATGGGGTTTGTTGCGTCCACCTTTAATAATAAGCGAGATAATATTAAAAAATGAAAAAAAGGTTTCTTATTAAGAAAATCAGACATTTTGTAATTGTTACGAACTCTTTCAGGCATTTCTGCCTTCTTTTCAAATTACGTAAGGATTTACAGATTTAGACAGTTAATGGGGGGGTCAAAATATAGTGAATCACCCTGTACGTCATAAGGTTTTCGCTTTGGTTATTATGAGACTGAATATTTATAGTTAAGTGACATCTGCTGTCACTAGAAATTTTGACTTTAAGCCTCTATACAGGCGTTAATTTTCAACCAAACATGATTCTGAAAACGTTATTGTAATCTTAAAGACGTAATTAAGCGACCCATTAAAAAATATCACCGGTTTTTTGACATTAACATTCTCAAATTGTGCATTAAAATACCAAATGGCAAACCAAATAAACCAAATTGTTATCATGAATCAATTTTTAAGGAATTTTATCTGTTGTTCATCGTATTAAAAAAGTAATTAAATTACGTAAAGTATTTTAAAAGTTATTAAAAAAATTGATTTCCAGGGGCGTGCTTTAGGGGGCTGTATCTCCGTAGAGAGGCCATCTAGGGAAAATTTATAGGCGCTTGTCATGTTATTTTAACGTCTCCTGTATAGATCCGAGATACTGTCCACATATTCTAGGACACCCGGTATACTCCGACGAAGAATAAAGATAGTAGATACCGTCACTTTTTTTATTCATTATCACGATTGAATCAACGCTTGAAATAATTATTTAAATTAATCAAACAGCGTGTCAATAAAGATGTATTACCTCAAGGTTGCCTGGCTTAGCCTTCATATTAATGTTTCATTTTTCAAATACTATGCACTAAACGATACAGGAAATACGGTTGTAGATAAAATATGCACAGCATATTTCGCATAACTTTCATATCATTCAGTTAGCAAGTGACTTCGTTTATAGCAATAGATTTTCGATTAACTATTCAAACAATTTTAATTATTAGACACAGATAGGTAACGGGTTATATCAACAAAAGTTTATTTTGTTGATGCACGAGTAACATCTGTTTTATGTAATTTGTAATCTATAATACGAATACCTCACTGTGTTTATATATACATTTTGAATAAATGAATCATAAATAAAAAATATAACTTTCAACATAAATTTAAATCAGTTACAATTAATAAACAAACAAATATACAGGGTGTTTCAGAAATACCTCCCGTAAATTCAGGGGGTGATAGTACGACAAAAAATAAGAATATTTTGTCTTATGAACTATATGTCTATTTCTTCTTGTTTTCGAGATACAGAGCGACAAAATAATTTAGAAATACAATAGACATACATAGATAGAAATCAATAAAAGCCTAGTTTTCTATGCAGAAATATTTGCACTGAATTTTTAAAGAAAGATATGTTTTCGACTCATTTTTAGTTATATTCGTAATTGTTGATCCACGTCATTCATATAGTGCTATGAATATACAAATATACCTATATTTAAATATATTCATTTACATAAATTAAAAATTATGTAAGATTCTAGAGCTGTGCTTGCTTATTTACTACCAATCCATCCATTTTGTTTTTTTTTGTACTACCTGTCTGAAAAAACATTTAGACCTTGATTTTATTCGGCATTCATATTTTGATTGATTAAATTTACTTTCCGCGAGAGACAATATAGAAATAGGTATATGTACTTATATAATATATGGGTATAAAATAATTAATTATCAATTTATTATTCAGAAAATAGAATGTGTTTAGTTAGAAGTGGTTTATTTTTAATGCTTTCATTTTTTAGTGAGAGTTGAGAGTACTATTTGATAGAATTCTTACAAGGTGGAGCAAACTCTTGAAATTAAAAAAAATGTTAACGGGAAGTAGTAAAAATATTGAGAAATTCGTGACAATGTGCACTTTGAGGTTGCCTATTATTCGGCGCATGTGACGTCACTACTAAAAAGGTCTATTTGCTGGTAAGGTACATTTCCTGATGTTTACCCTGATCTCTCAATACGAAAAATTAAAGAAAAAATGAAATTTCACTCGCTAGTCTATTAAATAGTTTCGTTACATTTACCTCGCTGTTGCAGTTACCCCACTTGACCCTTCTACTTAAAAAACACTTTAAAGTAAGATAATTTTTATGATTCTGCCAGTATATTACCTACTGACTAAGACTGTTTTATAACAAGCTATACATATTGTAGCGAAAATATTACTGACTGGAGGCAAAGGTAATAAATTTTAAATTCTAAAAGGGCAGGTAAGGAAACTACGCTCTCAAGTAGGTAGAAGAACCTTTTACTTTTGCAATCTACACAAACAATATTTATTTCAAGGCCAAAAAATGGTACCTGCAAGTTTCTAGTTTGATTTTATATACAGAGTCAGAACTAATTTGTAAATTAATATATTTAATGTCTAATTGTATTATTGTAATTTTTGAGGTACAATCTATAATAAGCTTACTACGAGGTTGAATAAATTCTTTGTCATAAATAATAATTCATCAAATATATTGTCGTCAAAAAAAAATTCTTGTTGGCGCGAAAATTACTTAACAAAACATTCATATACTTAGATTTTTATTGCCCATTGAGAAATGTCGGGCAGCACAAAAAAGTGATGACTAATAACAACTGAAAAAATTATTTCTCCTTAAAAATCTTAATAAATAATACGTTTTCATAAAATTTAATTGTAAAGTCTCCTTTATTACAATTTCATTACATTTTTAAATAGGTGCCTACTGCAATGAAAAGATTTTTTATATTGTCTTTTAGAGATAAGAGCAACGTCGCTAGACAACTAAGGTTATTAGTTACTGTGTAAATAGGAAGCCAACAACGGCAATTAAAAAGGACCCATTCATTACAGTTGTAGCGTAATCATACGAAACAAACAACAAACTATAGTTAAATTGATAAGAATGATTAATTAAATGTTTCTAAGTTGTCAAGTTCTGGTTCGCGCAAGGTCGCTAGTATTTTTTAGTTCTCGACACATTTAATGACACTTTAAAAATGATGAGTGCAAGTGGAATAATCTATTCAAGTATTGATTGCAATTATGTTATAATTTTTTTTCACGTAAACAATCAATTAACTGTTTCAATTT